ACTATCAAGACAACAACAAGGAAAGCCAAAAGAGAAACCTAGTGCTTTTTTGAGTGTTGCTGTTGATGTAGAGTAACTAGAATGTCCATCTGTTATTTACCACATCATTCATTTGGTATTTTAAGTGCATAGTGTAGCACCATGATTATGGTTGTTTTCCAGCTTTGTTTGGGTTTCCATGTGTTTCTCCGCTGATAACAGTGGCTGCATCACTCCAGACGGTCCACCTTTGTAAACTATCCTCTTTGACAAGACTCCAGAAATAAATTTGTTCCCCTTTCAGTCATTATTTTACATTATAATTTTATTTTGGAGCAAACTTTCACAAGCAATGCCCAATATTACAACAACATAACCATGTGATGTATATCGCTGTCTGCCACACACTGTCAGTCAGTGTAAGTCTGATCATGTATGTATCATGAGGTGGATAAGCTATGTCTTGTTTAACACATAGCTAAACAATCACCGATCACATGGCAGACTCACGCTGGGGTAAGATAAGGATATCTGCTGTATCAGACCACATTCTGTCTGCACATTCTGTCCTCCCACAGCGTAACAGCAACTGTGCTTGATGTCTTAAATCCATTATAAAAAATTGAAAGATCTGAGAATGAAGTCTGTGGTATAGAAAACTAAATCATTAAGGTTTTTCATTTCCAAGATGTATATTACAACCCTGAACTACACAGGCACTGGGAAGAAGCAGGACATTTCAAATACAGTATCTATTCGGACGGAGACAAAGCATGTAATTTTGTCTGTCAGACACCTACTCTAAGCAGCATGGTGAGATGCTGATTACATTTTCCTCTTACTACTTCTTCTAAGAATGAACAATTCAGACAGAAGAAAGGCTTTACAATATGGTCCTCACAGTGTAAAAGGTGGCAGAATGTAGTAAAAGTTATTTGAATGCCATTATGTAGAAGTTAGTTGCATGGTTATGAGATTGGAGATGTGATTGGCTTTGGCTGTTTGGCTGGTGCTGAGGAGAGGGAACATGCTGTGCAGGAACAGGCTAATCTGCTGATTTAATATGAGACAATATCAATGGATGGATTGGAACAGTGGAACCAGGGGCTTTTAACACATGTAAAACAATAAACATGTTTAAAAGATCATGAATGGATGTCAGTCTAGGTTTGCTTCATCTACAATCAAGGTTTTATTTAAGAAGAAGATATACTTTATTGATCCCCTACGGGGAAATTGTTTTTTTCACTCTGTTTTTATACACACACACACACACAGGCTGAAACGCACACTTCATGCACATGTGGACATGCAAAGGGGAGATGTGATGATGGAGCTGCAGCTGTTACCCAGCGCCTCTGAGCGGTTTGGGTTAGGTTGCCTTGCATCCTGTGCACCTCACAGGCACAGGAGTCCACTGGCAACCTCTCCAGCTCACCAGTCCCACACTCCATATTTTGTAGTCTGTGGGACTTGAACCTACAGACTGAGCTACTGCCGCCCCAAGGGTTATTTAACTAGAAATAGGCTCTGTTAAGGTGGCTGCAAATATCAATGGACGACTAACATCAATCAAATGTCAGCTGGTTCTGCTCTGATACATATCTCTTTACAGATCAGTTGTACATGTATTAGGTTTTGTGAGTCCCTGTCACTGAATTATACCTTCATAATATTTGAGACTGTAAAGTAGATAGGGATGCTTATCCATTCTTTGCCCAACAATTTACATTCCAAGAAGCAATATTGGATTTTTGACACAAATCATTTTAGAAGGGCAAAAATACTACTAACTAATACTAAATACTCAAGGTGCACGAAGTAAAAGAAAACAACATATCCATGTTCACCCAGCTAATGACAGAGTTGCCACAATGAAAGATACTTCTTTGCTGCCCCTGTTTGAATACTGAACCGTAAAAGCATTTAAAAAGAATCACACAGATCTAAAAGCAACAACAAATGCTTTGGTTAGTTTTACATTCTCGGTTGTTTGTGTTGAATATGGCAAATCTGCAAGCTATTTGTCGGTATATGGAGTGGATAATTATTAGTGCTGTGCTTTGCTCACCAGACCTAAGGGTGTGTGATTTATTTCTGGAGCCACCCGTCAAACAAAAAGGTTGCCTCTTGTCATTCTGACAAGCAGCCGATCTAATCAGTCTGACCAGTGTTGGGGTAGACACATGCTAATTAACATCATCATCCTGAGCATGGTACAACAAAGGACCCTGCTTTTGTCGTGCTTTGTTATTCTGGTCAGTGCGTGTGTTTGTGGTCCTGTGTGGGATTTGTGTGTCTACAGCTGCGAGGGTACGTAATGTACAAGTGATAGTGAGTGTTCCTCTCTATGAGATGTATTTGTGTTTTTTTATATGTGTGAGTCTTCACAGTGAAAATGTATGAATCACAACTGAGTAGCTGGAGCCCGTGGGCAGGGTGGCATAAGTTCATCAGAGTGCAGACGAGCCGCCCGCACAGTGCGATTAGCCGATGAACACAGCAGCGCGCTCCAAAGCATAATACCGATCAGACAGAAATTCCGATGCTGCTCAAAGACAATGTGAAGTAACTTCAGTTGTAGTAGAAACAAGAGCTCAAAAGAGGTGAGCCAAACCAGCCTTTCCATCTGGAGCCCATTTCAAGCCAGTCTGTTGAGAATGATTGTATCTGAGTCTGACAATATTTGGCTGAGACGCAGGACTCTTGAGTAGCACAATGAAAGCACTTCTGAGGCTTTTTACAGACATGTCACTGCGAGTCCAACATCTCATCTCGTCTTGGTAAGTGTGTTGGTTTCCTGCAATTTGCATGAATGAATGAATGCTGCTAAGGGAGCTCTTAAGTGAGAGCAGAAGGAGCAGTATGAGTTTTAAAGAGCAGAGAGCATATAAATATAAACAGATGCAACAGCAAGACAGTAAAAATAGGAGTTTTATGTACAGTATGACATGAATGAATGTTGACAGGAAAAAGGAATTCGTCTTTTGATTCGCTTCCTCCTAATTTTACCCTCTCATTTACTTAAGATGCATCTCTGGACAGAGAGCACTGCTAATGTATTGAGCAGTTTCAGTCATTTTCATGGTTTATTCAAATCTATTTAAATGTTACTTTGCTATAACAGTCATTGCTTTTGAGCCTATATGTTGTATGGTTCTCACAACTTAACATAAATTGGTATAATGGTATTATTATAAAGGTATTGTGACTTTTGTCTCATATGTGTCTGCTTATGTTGAATTATTCAGTTTTCTTTACTGGCCTAAATTATTATTATGTGTTTTGCATAACCAATACCATCATTTTCAACAAGCTTTTTTTCTGAGTGGAATACAATTCTTCTTTCAGCTTTTGTGTGTTTCTTTCAAGCTGAAGTTAACCGTGCAGTGATCCTTGAAGAATCTTCACCATTCTGACAAGATCCTTAAGAAGTGTGAAGGAGAAATGCTTGAGAAGCAAGCTATGAAAAGTGCTGTCCACTTACAGCGATTGCTGTCCTGTATTGCCTGTGCTTCTCGTCTGACATCTTCCTTTGACCTCACATCATCTCTGTGTCCTTCCGCTCTTCCTCTCATCCTTCCTCTTGCCTTCAGCAGACCTTACAAAAAAGCCTCCCCTTGCTTTTCCTTCTCCTCCCTCTGATCCCCATAGTCTCTCGATCACTTGCCCCCTCCCTCTCTCCTTCCCTCCCTTCCTCTCCTCATCTCATCAACTCTTCAGACACTGTGTCTCACTGGTGCTCCCATTACATAGCCCAGGGTCCATCACCGTTCCATCTCCCAGTAATAGATTTCCAATGCTTCGACCATCTTACCTGTCACGTGGTCATGTCTCCTCCCTGGGTAGCATCACTCTGTAAGCTGTTTAGAAATGCATGAATCCTCCCTGTGTTATTGTACTCATTCCATCATAACTCACTCCCCAGACAGAGCAGCAGTGCGCGACCCCCACTTGCTTCTCCTGCTGCACTGAGTCAAAATGATAAAGACTGCCGCTGCCATGTAGCAGCAGCTTATTATGAGATTGACTAGATTCAAAAGATAAATGAAATTGAGTCTTATTATAATCTAGTATATATAATAAGAAAGTGGGTACGAATGCAGGTTATTGTTCTAATCATTGCTTGGTAAGTGGGAAATTAAGTGGGAATTACTAAAGAACTGAATTTAGCTTTGGAACTGCACCATAATGAGCCAAATTCCTCGACAATTATGGCATGCCAGATTTAAAAATGTGTGTAAAATTTTTTCTCTCATCGCTCACAATCAACAGCATTTTAATTAGCTGTAAAATAGCAATTTGGATACCCTGGACTTGCATGCTTTCCTGGGAAGCCATCCATGTACTGTTCTGTGAGGGTTTGAACTCAAATTATTCTTCTGTGTCATTTGATCTTCACTTCCTCGCGTTTGTCTTCACATCGTTGTCGAAAACCTACACTACACAAGATCTGCAGATGAACTGTGAAGAGCATCCATATAATCACACACAGTTACATACAAATATAGATATAGATGAAAAGTCACTTTAGTGCAAAATCTTAAGTTCGAAAGGTTAAATGAGAGACAATTACATCTCCAACTGCACCTCCCATAGGAACACTACACCCATTTCTGTATGTACAAGAAATGTACATATTTACAACCAGCTGAACCAATTTCAATCCTATCCATAACAGAGTTCTTGGCTAGATGGATGCAGACAGTGTCTGATTCATGGTTGGGCTCACACCCACTCATGATTTTCATTTCTGTGCAAAAATAAACACAAACACTTACAAAGCATATCGTCACCCAAAAAATGCCCTCGTCTGTCCTTTCAGTACATTGTTCATTGTGTTCCCAGAGCCTCAACAGACAAAAACAAGAACAATACTGAAACTATTGTTCTTTATTCAAGATGTAGTATTGCAAAAACAACCATAAGGCATCCAAATAAATATGTTTTCATACATATATCCAAGTAAGTGGGCTTGGCAAGACAACTAGTTAAAGAAAATGTGTTAAGTTCAGGGTTACCTTTGGTGTTTTGGTGCACTTTCCATTTCTGGCATCTTTTATGTACGCTATATCCAGTAGGTCTGTATCCTGTAAACAAGAAGAAGCACAGTTAAATCAGTATCAATGTCAACCAAGTGCTAATTCAAAGACTTTAAAGATAAAGGAACCATTTCAGCAACCCTTTCCATTTCCAAACCTACCACCTGTGGCCAAAGGCCTTGTATGTTCCATAAATGTTTAGGGACACACATTAGCCTCAATACCAGAAGCCATGTGGGAGTCATTTATTGTAGATAGATGCAAATTTAGAGACACTTTGCCCTGCGTGTCATTGTAGTGTTGTGTACGAAATTAGGACAAACGTGTAAAGTTCCCATGTTGACTGATGACCTGGCTAAATTAGCACTTTAGCACAAATACTCAAAAATAGGTTTTGTAGAATTTCCTCATTAAATCAGATACCTGAAACCAAGCCAGAAACCAAAGAAAAAGGTAGATTGTGTTTCATGATAGACAATATCCTCAGCCGCAACACACCACTGGAGTCACTGCTGGCAACGAAAAACACTGGTTGGATGCAAAACACTCCACACATACACAATGTTCTGCTTGCCACATCTTGGCTAGAGTCAGCTGTGTGAGTGGTAGTCAACTGGCAATGAGACACGACATGGCACCCCAATGAAAACAGCCTTGAAAACACTGTCAACAACATTATGATTTAACCAAAAAGTTAAGTAGGGCTCTCTGTAAAAGCATTTTAAGTCAGTGGAAACTTTGGCTCCACTGTTGATTCATTATTGATACAGCAGTGTGGAAAGCAATGTCAGAGCTTCTTGTTCCATCTTACAGCTCTAACATTTTACATTACACTATTGTGGTGCAGGCAAAGTTGGACAGAATTCAAAATAAGAGCGCTGGAATAGAGACACCATGAAGCATTTTACATCTTCTTAGAGCCGATTTCAAATTACAATGATCTGAAGCAGACTTTAAATTACATTCATCTGAAGTTGGCATTATCTTCCCTTTTAGCAATCCATCGGCCAAATGTTTCATGCTTATTTGCAAGCCTATTGTCCTTTATACGACCAGTAGTGCAGAAAATACAACGAAAATGCATTCATACAGAAGGCCCCTGCTACCTCCTTTCAGTCACCACATGCCTTTATCAGGCTGGATTATCGCTCCCTCTATCTCTCTGAGAGGGAGCCAGGACATGAGTTGGAAAATTAACCAGAGTGAACTGTGTGTCCACTCAGCATTATCTGGGGAGACAAGGAGCGACGGGGGCCTGACTCAATCTCCAGCCGTGATGCTGTATCTCACCATCTCAAGGCCATGAGGTTTGCGGAAAATTGCACCCGGCCATTCTTCCTTATCTTCAAATCCATACCTACCTTAGTGGTCGCCAAAGATTATATTTCATTCTAATTACTAAACAATATTTTAGTGTATATTATTTATTTGCTTTTGTCAAATTCTGCTACTTGTAAATGTTGAAAATTTTGATTTATTCATTCAAACTATAATTTTTCTTAAATCAGCACTTCTTGCAGCCATATAGTATTGGTCAACAGAGGTCTTAAAAATTGTTGCCACTTGTCTACAGCACATGAACAGCCACTGTCTGTCTCCAAATAAGAGGCGGAAATTAAAGCACTCTATTCTATGGCTGTAATCCACAAGGACAAGTTATTCTTTTTCTGCTGTGTGTAGCATCAATTAGACTGTCCCTGTTTGCACAAAGAGCCTCTGAGTCAAAGGTTAACGCCTACATCGGATCTGCAAATGCCTGCCTTTGAAGTCTCTTTAAAGAGATGGAGCTCCGCATGGGGGCCTGGTGTAACAGTGGGGCTTCAGGGAGCAGTTCGCTGATGGGGTCTTTTTTTGTGCCCTCTAGCCCTGCACAGTTAACGCAACTCTAAGCTGGTCTAGCGTCACTGGTTGACTGTTAACCTAAAGAGCCGACTCATTAAAGGTAAAGCACACCGCCTGTATGGCTGACAAGCTGCTCACACAGTGTGCGACTGAGGTGTTACATGTGTAGCCATTACCGTAACATCCAAAGAACTGCATCAGCATTTGCTGCAGTGTGCTGAGGCTTACTCATTGTGGAGATGTAAATAAAAGTTGATGCCAATGACATTTTATTAATACTGACTTGGATTTATAATCGCAGACACTGAAGTTAATTAAAGTACTTTCTTTCTGTCTAGCAGTCCAGCCATAATTTCTCTCATTTATTTCCTATGACATATGTTCTTTATCTCTTCATTTCTGTCATCTCTCTTGATTCATCACACTGCCTCTTGCTCTGTCTTTCTCTCTCTTATTTATCTCCCTCTCTCAGGGCTTTTCTGTGTGCATAAAAAAAAAACTGTGAGCAGGGATCCAAAGCCTATTAAGATCCACGGCACGTCCAGGAAGCAAGCAGGGCCAGCAGGAGAGAAACTACAGAAATTAATGAACATGCTTAACATGCGCTGGCCCTGGGCTTTGTTTTCTGTTTGTCTATCTCTCTTTGAGCTGCTGTTCATGCAACATCTGTAACATGCTGCCTTCCTCTTAAAATTAAAGCCATTCCTTTTCCAAGTAGCAAGTAAGGAGAATGGTGTTTATAAGAAACTGTAGGAAATTCATCATTGATTTGTGAGTCTTTTGTTGTAAAATGTGCATATGCTTCAGGCACTTTGTACATCTAATATATATGCACTGTTCTTGTGTTGGACCACTCTTTGTTATCCTATAATATGAAAGAACATTGAGTTCACTAGCGTATGAAATGTGATATACAAAAATTGACTTGAGGCTAACCGGGGGAAAAAATCTGTTACAAGGTGCTTTGAATAAAATATCTACAATGAGGCTTGCAGAGTCTGGCCAGGTTGGTTGGTTTTTATAACAAAGAGTTCTGTTGCCCTTTGAAGCAACAATCTTTCACAGCTTTAGTAGCAAATGAGGGATGTGCCAGTGTGAGAAAAAAGGGAGAGAATGTTAAAGAAACCTGGAAGAGATGGAGAAAGGGATAAATGGAAGTGGGGAGACAGAAAGCCACAGGTTAAGATTGCTCATTTACTAGCAGTATGCTTGACAGTCTCTAGGTTCAAAATGGATGGGCACTCCACAGGGCTCAGAGCCTCTGCTGAGCAACGGAGACAAGGTGCAAAAAAAAAAGTGAGGGCAGGAAAGAGGGAGAGGTGAATACACACTGAGCAAATGAAGGGGGAGATGTTTGAGACAGGACTGTTTTGTCTGTGGTACTGGGGCCATCTGTGAAGTACAGGATTTAAATATATAATAATATTAGTAATATACAGTGCAATTGTTTTATTTATTTGAATAATTAAAAAGCTAAACATTTAATAGTTAATTCCACTGTGTTATGTTTCATCTACAACCCTGCATATCCACTTCAGCTGTGGTTTGCTTACAGGACTGCTGACAGGGTACACACACAGACTATACTGGTATAAAATGTCAGGGTGGCCCCTAACCCCTTCATGCCAACTCAGGGACCAAAATAAGCACAGTGTGTATAGCAAGACTCTTGTGACTATACAAAACGTTGAAGTAAACAAAAAGTAAACAGAAATAAAAGATAAAATAGATGAAACATTTTGAGTTTTACATGATGCAAAGCTACATTTTGCTAAACAAATTACACTGCTGCATTCTCTATACACAATAGTTTTTAAAGGCCCACTGACTCAGGATCAGAGGATTCTGGGCATGCAAGTGTTCTCCTAATTATAAACAGAGCTAATACTTATGTGGAACAAAACACACTAAAGCCACACAGGTGCTACGCCTGTCCCTGTAAGTGGCCCTCCAGTGACACTCAGCTGGCGGGAAACATGTACTGTCACAAGAGAAAATGGTGCGTGGAGAGCTGTGCTTGAACTTGGATGAGAGTCACAGCCACTCTTCTGCTCCACTCTCGGGTTCCTATAGAGCGACTCTAACAGCCCCACAGTGATTAAGTCACAAACCTCCTCACCTGAAGTGGCTGACTTAAGAGAGACAGAGAGAGACCTGCAAAAAGTCAGACAAAAGAGGAGGAAGCTTGTATGTAGGAGGAAAATGACTTTGTGAACATTTCACACACATTTCTGCACGTATACTTGTGTGCTTCCTGTCCTAGCAGTAGACTAAGATGGTTTAGTATCTAAAACTCACAGGAGGCCCTATTACTTTTTAAATCATTCCATGGATTAAATGCTTTATTAGAAAGTATAAAGTGGAGCGTGACAGCAAAAGCAGGAGAGAAATGAGGTATGGCATGCGACAAAGGCCTTGAGCCAAATTGGAGAGTCTGGCATTGCCACGAGGCTGCCTGAGGGCCTATTTAAACTGAGCAACTAATTCACTCTGTTTTTCATCCATCCACCCTGTTCCATGTCTCCAGTCCCCCTCTCCCCCCATTACTTCTCTCTCTCTGCAGCACAAAAAAAAGAAATAAAATCTTCAAACAAATCAATGCTCTGTCATAAGTGACCAACAAAGGATCATTTCTGTTTACAGTGTGAATGAAATCAATTGAAAGAGCATTTACCCCACCACAGTATTTTTCCACAAACTCTCAATGGCTACTAGTTGTAAAGGGTAAAATCTCTCTCAATAGAAAATCAATTCTGCGCTTTGGATCTGTAAAATGGATTCTAAACTCCATAAGCTTGAACAAAGTATAATTCATACATTTTCTCATTTCTATGTTCAGTTCAATGGGCTGCTCAAGTATTGGAGAGACGCTTCAGACATTGGGCTGGTATCTCTAACCTTTACCGCACAAACCTTTACAAAATCTGGATTTTCAAAAGAGTGCAGTCCTCTATCTCAGCCAACAGACAAATGTGGTGTGTGGATGCCAGAGATCTCAGCCAGGCAGTCCTGGTACCAGCCACCATGTGGGAGCAACACAGTTTTTTCTCTCTACAGAATGGCTTGGTACTATCGTAAATTCTGCAGAAATGTCTCCAGCTTGTCTCAAGCTTTGACTAACCATGTACACCCTTGGTCCAGTGAATTCCTTTATGCCTTTGAGCATCTTAAAGCTGTGATGCACTCCAGTTTTATCTGCCCCTATT